ACATAAGTATCGGAAAAACTAAGCAGTTCATAATTCTGATTTTTGTTTGTGTTGTTATTTGTTGTTGTTATGTCTTTCCAGATTTTATCGAATTTTTTGGTCGCTATTTTTACCATTTCACATCTTCTTTTGATCTCTTGTTCTAATATACCCGTATTTGTGATTAGTGATCCCAAATACAAGTATTGATCAATAACCTCGAACCTGTCCATCTGTTGCGTATCCGAACTATTATTATTAGCTCGGTCAATTATCATTATTTTTGTTTTGGAAGTATTGAGTTCCAGACCTAGATGCACGCTCTCCGTTTCAATCTTATGAATGAGATCCAACAATTCATCTGCAGTGTTTGCCAGTAAGACGGTGTCATCCGCAAATCGAAGATTGTTAATTTTTCTGCCATTAATTGCGACTCCTCCCATCTAACCATCGAGCGATTTCCCAATAATGTATTCGCTGTATATGTTAAATAGTTGTGGTGATAATACACATCCCTGTCTCACTCCACATCTTGGTTGAAATTCTCGAGAATATCTGTTATTAATCTTGACATTACCAGTTGTGTTTTGGTATAATGGAATTATTAGGAAGATAAGATGTTGTGGCAGTCCCATTTCATTGAGGACATAGCTCGCTCCCTCTAATTTGCCGTAAGTTGAGCAGATGTCCTCTAGTGCCTCTTACTTTAACAAACCCCGCTTGTTCCTCTGGTATTTGGGGTTGTAAGTAGTTTTTAAGTCCCTCGTTGATTACTAGCATGCGAAATAAGGGTAATTGTTCTATAATTTTCGCATTTTGTTTTTTTTACCTTTTTTGTGAATCGTTATTATTTCATTTTTGTCCAGTTTTCCATATTTGATTGCATAGGTGAAGAAATGGGTTTATTCCCATTTCGCCCATTGCTCTGCTGTTAGTCTGTCGGGGCCTGGAGCTTTGTTATTTTTTAATTTGTGAATGGCTGCTTCTATTTCACATTTAAGAATATCCGGTTCTTCTTCCCATCCTTCCGTTTGTTGAGACTCGACGTATTGTTCATCCCAATAGAGGTTTTCGCAGTAGGCTCTCCATGTCTCTGTCATATCTTTGATGTTGGTTATAAGGTTTCCGTTTGTGGCCTCTAACGACCGGGTTCTGGGTTTGAAATTTCTCGTTGTATATTTTATTTTGCGGAAGAGATCTTTCGGTTGGTTTGATCTGGCGTGAAATTCCACTTCGCTGCATATGGTGGCGTAATAATTATTTTTATCTTCTTTACATGCACGTTTAATATCGGGATTTACTTTCTGATATTCTTGCTTATCTTTGGTGTTTTGTAATCCCTTATTTGACATGTATCTTCCCTTCTCTACGAGTGCCAGTGTTGCATCTGAAATCCAATGTTTTCGTTTTGTTATTCTTTTCGGTTTTACCACTGCATTGACTCTCCAGGTTTCCCATTCGGTTTGCGGAGGTATAGTTTTAGTTATTGTTGGTTGTTGTTTTTCTAATTTATTCTGGAACGGTACCATATTAACTATTTGAAGTCTGTCAGGGACATTGTTAGTTGTTGTTTTCTTGAACTTAATTCTGATGTAAATGGCTATGTGTTTTCTGGAGATATTATTATACAAATCTTAGAGAAAGAGATACTTTTTTTTTAATCTCAGTACAAATCGCCTAACCAATTTATCTTATTAACGTTTTAATGTAATCTCTTATACGTCCCGACACCAGTGCAGTATATACCACTGCTTGAGAGAGACAGAAGAGCATCAGCGTCCAGTATTGGCCGGTACAGGTTCAGGTTTTTCCGACAGGGTCCTGGAAGATCGTATCCTCCCGGATTGTCCCGGATTTTTCAATATAGTTATATTTTGTCTAAACTACATCGCCAAAGATGATGATTCAGAAATGTACATTCCTATTGAAGGAATATAAAATTGTAAAAAACGCATGTTACGCATTATTATGTCAAAATGTTTTTCATTATCTAATTGATACAAATGCCCAATGTGAAGCTCAATTATTTAAAAGCCATTTGTCTCTTCCAAATACTTGTCAAAATATTTTATTATTAAAAATTAAAAACACAATTACCAGTTACAATTAAATGTCCACATCATGAACCATATTCTGAAGTAATTATAGAAAATACAATTCTAACTTTGTTTTAACCAAATATGAAATACGAAACGCATCATTTCATGTGATTATTGTAAATATTTACTAAAAAAAATAACGTGCCTTAATTTTGATGAATGAGAAATCGCAAAACAGGAACTTGATCAATATTCAAAAAATCTAGATGACTTAATAAATGGCGGTTAGCTATTGGAAGTTCAAACCAACCATCGCCACCACAACTTCCAAAGAATGAAGAAAATATTTTGCGAAGATTAACAAGAATTCTCCGAAAAATAAGACTAAGAGTTGGAGAAGCAATAGAAGAAGATGAAGAAGACACCGCTCTGCATTGTTAAAGCGACAACTTTTTTTTGTTTGTTGTTATATGGAGTAATTCAATCTGAGAGGGCTTATGAAAAATTCAAAAAATTAAAATAAATTGAATCCGCTTCATCAAGCATTTCTGTGTAAAGCCTCATATTTGCGTAACTACTTCTTCTTTGTGGCGGGAAATATATTTAAATCGAATCAGTCAGACCCTGTCTCCTTTTTTCCCTCCATTCTCGGTTTTCCGTGGAAAGAAAACACATATAAATAATTCATCGGGGACAAACAAACAAATTTGCAAAGTCTCGGAATAAAACGACAGAAAATCTATTTCTCTCCGACTTTTTTTTTTCCTTCCTTCGTAATAATGAATCTCGAGCGTCTGATTTCCGTTTTTGTCGTTTATTTTATGGTTCGCGGAAAACCTTTATAATGGCGGAACGTTTTCTAGCGCTTACGATTTCGGACGGTCGGTCGTTAGATTTGGGTTTTTAAGTAAGTGGGAGTAGAGGCGGGTAATTTATTTATCTCTGGTTTGTAGTATATTGGGTCCTAGATAATTCATAGGGAGAGACCTATACTCTGTTTCAGAATGGTGTAGAGTAATAATACCTTTCATTTTTTGCCATTGATTTCATGGCAAAGGTATTTCTTACTATAGGAGTGCGAGCAACTAGTGCCATCCGGGTTTGTAAATTCTACAGGATATGTGGTTTGTTCTTCATCATATTTATTTTTAAATTATTTTTTTGGTTAGTTGCGTTTTGCTCTAATGGTTTATCAAAGATAAACTTTCAAGTTTGTTTTTTTTCATCTTGTTTAATTATTGTAGCCTCCAAATAAAATTGAAATGAAAAAGAATGGGGAAAATCTCTCACCAATATAGAGCAAATAGTAGTTAAAGTACTAGGAATCAGTTTAAGAACTGCGAAAAATTACATGAAAAGCACAATGTAGTACCAAAAAAGACAAAACTGAAGATTTTAGTGAATATGTTTGGAATGTGATCTGTGATTTATATATATCAAAAACCAACTTTTGAATGAAACTCTTAAAAAGCGTAGTATTTTGGATACTGGACTTGAATCATTTTCAAAATTAGTAAGAATTTTAGGTTTTCGCTATAACAAGATGAAGATTTTTTAAGGAAATATAGCGTAAATTTTTTCTTTTTTTGTCTTGTTACTTTCGAAAAATCGATGAAATCGATTCTTTTCTGTCCGTTCCCAGTTCTCAGTTCTTTCGACGATGACTTCCGAGCGGTTTGAGCTACACGCGTCAAATTTTGCCGTCCACGGGGAATTCAAGCCTCGGCGTAAATATTTTTTTTCCAATTTCGACTGTTTTTTGGACGTTGCTATGAAACACGATAATTGTCCGAAAGCTCCTCTAACGGAACCTATTGAAATTGGGGGGCTTGTGGGGTCGGGAAATACTTAAAAAAAATAAAAAATCGCGTTTGCAAGGGTCTAAGAAAAAAATCATTTCTCCAAAACCGTTGATGCAACCAAAAAAATTCTTGAACAAGGAGACGCACAAGATTTGGCTCCATAAACTTTTATTCTTGATAATTTTTCAAGAATGTACACAGTGGGCCGTATATTTAAAAAAATCTGAAAAATGGGTCCATTTGACATTGAAAATTGGATTTAACTAAAAGACTGTAGTTCAGATGTTAGTTTCTTTTACATTACGATAAGATATAGCCCATATGGACAGCTAAAACTTTTGTATTTAAAGTTTTCACCTATTGTACAGGGTGTTCCCGATATTCCGTACAATATAAGAAATTTAGCAGAGAATTAAAAGGCAAATTTCACCAAGTATTTTTAAAAAAAAAATTGAAATTTTTTTTGCTGTTATTTTGGCTTCCAGAAAAACATGTTTTTTTCCATAATCATTCACCCGATTGGCAAAATTATTTAACCAGCAAACGCGGAAGATACATTTATTTCAGGAATTTTTTCCGATTATTGATTATTGCTTTCCATGATAATCTAAATCTATAACTGTCAGAGTTTTCAATCATGTCGACTTCATGATGATTAGAAGCAAAGCCACCAAAGCAATATTTTGTTTTTATAAAAATGTTTTTACTTATCTGGTTTTTTCCTTCCTGTGGGCGTATTTTTTAACGGATCTGAACATTTTGGTGTCAAGATGTTGCAAAAAAAGTGCTAGTTTTTAAAAGTTTGGTTAGTTTATTTATTATAAATAGGAGAGATTCGCCAAAATTTGGATAACTTTGGTTAAAGTTAGTCCAAAAATAAATCGATTTGATGCTTAAAAGCTCCAAAAAATAATAAAAATCTTTGTCCCATCCTCCTCTACGTCTAAATTTGTAGCTTTAGTCGTTTTCCTACATTTCATACAGAAAAGTGAATACTTCTCATAACGTTCAAAAAAGGGATTTATTCTAACAGGATCAAGAAAGTTTGAACGACGCGTTTCGGGGCGCAAATCGCAGTCATCAGGGCATAAATAAAACAAAAGATCCAGTCCGGTGTCGAGTCTCGGCTCGCGGAATACTTACTACTCCATAAATGTAAATCCGGCGAAAAAATCCTCACCTGACATAAATCGACGCGTGGAAGGCGGCCGGGTTGTCTTGCTCGCTAAATCTCGGCAAGGAACCTTGTAAAATTGCCAATCTCAGAGCCAGTAACACGCCCGTCTGAAATATACGGAAAATTTTAAATTACTGCCAGCTAAAAGGGGGATTTCGACTGTATATATTTTTGCCGGGTGGGCTCGGAGGAGGTTTATTGTCATGCGAAACTATATTGTTATATAGGGTGGCTCACAACTACGAGATTTTTTTATATTATTCTGTAAATAGCAGCCATAAGCATCTTACGGCATTTTAACTTCCCTTCACAGATGTACAACTAACAGAAGGGGAACGTAAAACCGATAGAAATACAAAAAGAATAAAAAGTACACCTTGTTATATAAGATTATAAAAGAATTCGCAACGAATCAAACACGGAAAAAGGAAGGAAGAAAAGGAAGGAAGAAAGGAAAAAGAAAACAGGACATTGGGAAAAATTTATTAATTAATTATTGAAGTACGGCGCTCCCAAGCTAATTACAGAACTAACAGCTTACAATGGGTGTCGCATCCCCAGAGACATCGTACGGTGCGTACAGAATAAGCTATTGCTGCTGTAGAGCGTAGCATTGAGGAAGACCCGAATGAGTCAATCCGCCATCGAGCACAGGAATTGGATCTGTGTCCGTCCACGTTATGGAAGATTTTGCGGAAGGATCTTGGTTTACGTGCTTACAAAATCCAACTTGTGCAAGAATTGATGCCAAACGATCATCAAGTAAGGCGTAAATTCGTCGAATGAGCCCAAAACGAGATTTCCGTTGTTCCCGATTTTCATAAGCGAATTTTGTTTAGCGATGAAGCGCACTTCTGGTTGAATGGCTACGTCAAGAAACAAAACTGCCGCATTTGGAGCGAAGCAAATCCTCAAGTGTATCTCGAAAGACCGTTACATCTAGAAAAATTGACTGTTTGGTGCGCCTTATGGGCTGATGGAATCATTGGTCCTTACTTCTTCAAAAACGATGATGGCCAGAACGTTACAGTCAATGGTGATCGATATAGAGCTATGATTATTAACTCTTTCATTCCTGAATTGAATAACCACGATGTCCAGGAGATGTGGTTTCAACAAGACGGCGCAACATGTCACACAGCTCGTGGCACAATCGATTTATTGAAAGACACGTTTGGTGACCGCCTAATTTCACGTTTTGGACCTGTGAATTGGCCTCCAAGATCTTGTGATTTAACACCGCTAGACTACTTTCTGTGGGGCTATGTAAAGTCATTGGTCTATGCGGATAAGCCACAAACGCTTGACCATTTGGAAGAGAACATTCGCCGTGTTATTGCCGTCATCGAAAATTGGACGTCCAGATTGGACTACATCCGCGCCAGCCGTGGCAGTCATATGCCAGAAATCATATTTAAAATGTAATGCCACAAGATTATCTTTCGGATAAATAAAATTCATGTCAGTCGAATAATCCATCGTTGTTTTATTGCAAACTTAAAGTTCTATACATCGATAAAGAACACCCCTTAAGCAAGTTAATACTAAGATTACAAATACCGGAAACTCTCTGAAGAACAACGAGGTATCGCAAGTGGAAGATCTTGTAATGGTGCAGTGTTCTTATGCTTCATAGACTTAGAAAAATCGTATGAGGGCAGCTACAGGACGTGATACATACACTTTGTAACAGAAATGTCCCATATGATTTAATAAAAAAAAACATGAGGAAATTCAGAGCTAACTGGCAAGGAGACTCACAAAGCCTCTTATTATTTAACATTATAAATAAAGAAATGCAAGTGTTGTGTTACGCCGACGATACTGTACATAAATGTAAAGAAATTTAATATCGTCCAAAAAAACTAAATCACTAGTAATATCTAAACAACCAATTAGACGTAAGCTGGAACTTGATAACCAAATTATAGAACCGATGATCATATGATAATAACATAGATAATGAAATAAGAGAACAAACTGCAAAAGCCAATAGAATAGCAGGATGTCTAAACTACACGATATGGAAGAATAAATACTTAAGAACCGAAACAAAATTCCGCGTATGAGCAGTTCATTTTGAAAGTCCACTTATCTTTAATTTGAAATACTTAAGGTTTTGCGTTTTTACAAATTTCAAAATATACTTAAGATATATGGTGGACTTGCAATGTTAAATCGCATTTAAGGGATTTAATTTCATACATCCTATTCAAAAGTCGCTATTATTATCATTAAGTGTATAATATGACCTTGCTTACCTTAAGAGGACTTAGGTCACTTTCAAAATAAAAATTTGTTTTGGTACACAAGGTGAAAGAGCTCAAGTCCGTTACATATAGCTTAAAAAATAGAAAAACAAAAACGTTTAAATTATATTTTTAGATAATAAAAACAAATTGAGTAACAAGTTATTCGTTAACATTCTCAGTATGCGGGAGTGATTTGAAGTAGTTATGGTGTTCCGGAGGTATATACCGCAATAAGTACATCATGTCTTGGTATTTTAGTGACGTGATGCTATTTATACTTTTATATACCGATGGCAATACAATGTTCTCAAATTTTTTAGGTCTTCCCCGACGTGGCAATAAATCAAGAATTTTATATTCTGCATTTCTTAAAAATCGCATCCAGCATATTTGAAGCCCGTTTATTTTTTCTCCCTTGGTATTTTTGGATCTTTTGTAAACTGCTTCTTCCAAGAGTTTTGTTGATATAAAATCCTCTTGTTTCATTTCGTTTAGTATAAAAGTATTACCTTTTCTACATTTTTTAATTTTATTATAGTAATCTTGTGGCACATACAATAACTGATTTCTTTTTAACGACATTTCTATAACGCCAAAATTTCTGTCATAAGGGAAAAATGAATGCCCTGATATTAAAAATTTGTGGTCTGTGATTTCCACATCATTTCCCAGCGATAGAATTTTTAACCACATTAAAGATATTTTGATGTTTCTGTTTTGTCCTCCACACATATGCAATGAAGTGTTTTTCACCTTTCAGGGTTTTTAGGTGTCTCAACAGGCATGAAGCCACTTCTTGGGAACCTCTAGAAGCTTTTGTTTCATCCCAAACACAATTTCCACAACGATAATGTATACATGCATTATCGTAGTGGAAATTTGTAAGCTGCTGAAGTAGTTAACTTTAGGTATGGTAACGCTTTCTGCAAATCGACTGAAAAGCCAAAATAATGAGATGGATTATTTGATATTCGCTCTTGATCTCGTTTTAACGCATTTCTAGCCGATTCTGCTAGCTTCAAATGAATATCATTTTCTTCCATAAGTGTTTTTTGTTCTTCATGGTTTTCTGATGCTTTGACTTGAATGTTTAATAGAGCACATCTTTGACATGTGTCTTTGCGTGGTGGGTGGAAATGTAGATTAAAATCCTTTTTTAATATTTTTATATTCATTAACTGCTTTTAAATTATTTTCTTCACAGTGAAGCTTATGAAAATTAAACATTTTTTTTATTGTCAGTTCAGGATGAAGATATTTATAATGGGATTCAAATTTCGAGAAACTGTTAACAACAATCATATTTGCTTCATCACATATTTTTCTCGACGATTCAGGCAAACGCCCACGTAAATCGTTGCTAACGTCTTTAGATTTTAATACACGTTTCAATCGTCCTTCGCTTATTTTAAAAGTATCTAAAAAGAATTTTTTACAAACAGCAACTGTGCCTGTTTTAAAATTTTAATTTCTACATAAACCTTTTCCGTTTCTCGGGCGTTTTCTTTTTACAACTCTGCGTCCGGTCGCTTCGTATAGCTCTATATTTTGCTTATTAAAGTCTCCTTAGTTCCAAAACATTTCGAAAATATGTTTTCTTTCTGTTTCATTTAAATTTTTCAAGCAGTCTTTTCGCCATTGCCAATCTTTATTTTGAAAAACTTTAACAGGAATATTTTTTCCCGAATGTGTATCGTATCTTTTCCCTGAATTCCGTTTAATTTTACGAATTTTATGAATACAAGTACCGTTTCTGTGTTCTCTGAACCCTTCTTTGAAGGTGCTGTTTTATAAATTCTCATTCTCAATTACTTCCTCTTCCTCTGATGAAGAACTACCTTCTGAAATTCTCCTTCTTTTTGAAATCTGTTGTATGAGTTTAATTCCTCTTCACTCTCGGTATTAAATCTTGTTATTTTATTCCTTTAAATTAAATATTATTTTTTAAATTTCAATTTAATATCAAAACGTAATTTACATTACCTTCATCACTGCTTTCAACATTAATTTTTTTGACAGTTTAGCGTAAAATATAAATGTCAAACGTGCCAACTTGATCTTCTTCTTCTTCCTGTGCCTTATCCTCAGTGGACGTTGGCGATTACTATGGCCCATCTGATTTTATTTGCTGCAGCCCGAAATAGATCCATAGATGTCATTCCCGTCCATTGTCTTAGATTTCGCAGCCACGATATTCTTCGTCTTCCAGGACCTCTTTTGCCGTTAAGCTTGCCCTGCATAATAAGCTGGAGTAGGCTATATTTCTGGTTTCGCATAACATGGCCGAAGTATGATAGTTTGCGTTCCTTGATTACGTTTAAGACCTCTTTTTGTTTTCTCATACGCTGTAGGACGGCTTCGTTGGTTACGCGGTAGGTCCATGATATTCTAAGCATGCGTCTGTAGCACCACATCTCAAATGCTTCCAGACGTTTACATGCAGCGTCGGTTAGAGTCCAAGCTTCCACCCCATGTGTTAGTATTGAGAAAACGTAGCATTTAAGAACTCTGACTCTGAGGTGTAAGCCTATATTTAGATTGATAAAAGATGAAAATGGACTTAACCCACTTCCAACATGAACGACTCGTATACAAATCTGTAGTTCGACCAGTCATGATATATACCGCTGAAACAAGAATGAATTAAAATCTTAAAGAAAATAGCACTCTGCGATAGAGAAACAAATGAAAACATAAAATACATATGTGGAATTAAAAACATTAACACCTGGACAAGATATAGAAAGGAAGAATGGAATCAACTTATAGATAGGATGTCTGAACAACGGATAGTGAGGATTGCAAGAGATAAATCGTCAGCTGATCGGACGGGCATAGGACGCCCACGAAAAAGTTGGAGCCACAAGGCACAAAATTACATTGAAGTACAACAGACAAAAGTGCCTAATGCAGAAGAAGAATAAATAATGAATACATAGTGTCAATCACAATAGACGACAATTACGTCACATCATAAATTGTATGTACTAATAAATGGACGTACTTCTGTGAGCAAGGTCGCGAGGTTATGTTATGAACCATCATAACAGGAGTCAGTAGTTGAGGTTAATGTTTATTTTAATAATTTCTAGTTTCCTCTTATTCCGTTATTTTTTGAATATTGCTTAAATAAGCTTGGTCTAAACGTAAAGTTTATCTCACACGGATTATATTTTACAATAGTCTAGGGTAAGATTATTTCATAATTTGAATGAATTTAAAGTTCTTGTTGCAGATAATTTGGTCTCATCAGTGTCAAATCATACTTAACCAGACTTAACCAAAAGGTATAGTGACTGGTAAGTTTTATCAAAAAGTATTTATTTATTCATCACCACCCACTTGTGCCAAGGTTTTTTTAAATCCTCGAGGCACTTTTGGTAAGCACATTCGGGTGTAGCCTTGAGTTCTTCCAGCGATTTTTTCTTCATCTTCTCAATCGTTCCTTTCATGCGTGGCTCCCCAGGTAAGATAAGGAAAATAGAGATTCCTAATTAACAAATTCTTCCTAATAAAAAAAAGCAAAGTTTCCCCACTCGCAGATGACGAGTTCTAACAAAAAAAAATGCTGTTCACCTTCAGGTGGTAACTTTTCACTAAGAGCTAAGTTTCGTCGCTTATCAAAAGATGACAGCACGGGGCAATGAATTGCAGATTGCAATAAGAAATCACCACTCGTTTACGCCCTGATACCGAGCTCAGGATCTTAGCAGGAGAGCTGAATACAAATAATATTCCCTCTGTCTCTTTCGCTCATCTACAGGTGGCAGGATCTTAGTCGTTGCTCACGGTACAGTGAACAATAAAAATACAAACAATAGTGCTGTTAGTGTCAACCAAGCGGTAGCGTTAGGTTATCAGTGACATTTGATTAGGAAATCAACCAGTTGGAATCGAAAGTCAGTTTCTACTGGTTGTCAGCTCAAGTTTCTTGCTGAAGTTTTAATAGATTTGCAAAATTCCCAGCGTATGGATTTCCCTAGTCTGTTTTCTCTTACTCACCGATGTGAAAACTTTCGCCGCCCGCTTGCTGAAACGCAACGTCTGACGATTCCATCTTACGTCGCTTATTGTCCTGCAACAGAAATTACGGATATTAACGCTTCCATTTATAATGTTTATTTATTTATTTATGTATTTATTTATTTATGTGTCAAGCTATATATTATTTCTAAAAACTTACAATTATTGAATAATGATAACTGTGACAAGAAGTAATGCACCTCGATTATAAAAAAAAAACAGTGGCACAAGCTTCAATCATGTGTGGCACAATCCTGCATTTGTGCAACAACACATCAGCCTGTATAAGAAATAAAGAAAATCAAGAATATACAAAAAATATATAACTAACTATAAAACTAAGAAAAAGGACAGCTGGCAAGGCACAATGCGAGACGAGTTCGCAAATAACACTTTTAAAGATATATTTTTATTTATTATTTATTTTTTTATGTATGGGTACTGATAACAATGAAAAACGAAAAAAATAGCTAATGCGTTGTGGGAGAGGCAAATTGTGTATTGTGTAACATAATGATGTAATTAACATGTCAAGTGTCATGAGGTGCAAAAATAACTGCTGCCTAAGATATTCGGGTTGACAGGAAAAGACAAATTTATACATGCGACTCCCTTTAGTCATTAGTCAAGACTTAGACGCATTCAAATCAAGATTGAAGTTTATTAGAGTGAGAACCTTTAAAGTAATGTCAATTAGAGAATCATCCGTATATTGTTGCATCACTGAATATAATGACTAAACAATGAAGACATTGCTCTATGAACTTAACAAATCCAGCTGAGAAACTGAAATAACAACATAACATGATATTAATCTTGTAGAAAGTTTTACTAAAATCCAAAAATCGAAACAATGGCGAATGTCATTCATTAACCTAACTACTGTGGTTATACTAAAGTGCGGTCTAAACGCTGACTGAGAGTGTTGAATTATTTTGGCGAAATTCACAAAAGTAGACATTTGTTGGTAGATGTGCCTCTCTATGAATAAACTGGAAGTATGTTGATTGGTGTTAGGTCTCTTGGCTCACTGGGATTTGATATTTTAGCAACTGGTTTTATAATGACCTTTTTACAATCTATACCACCATAGAAAACTTTTACTTAAAGGATGTTCTAGTATGATATTTTCCAAATTATCCATAAAAATCTCGGCTAACAAATGACTAAGTGGGTTTCCCATAATCAAACCTTTCTTAGAGATGTAAATCTGTCCATTAAATTCAAAATAATTTTGGTCTAAAGATGCTATTAAGCAATCTAATAAATCTTGCTTCACCAATGGGTTAACCTGTTTCCGAGTGAGGATGAAATCTACTAAATCTATCACATGCATAGGTGGAATACTGGAAAATAAGTTTTGTACGTCAAAAAGTGTTGCGTATAAAATATTTTGATATCTTAAGTTTTGTTGATTATTTTAAAAGAATTTTTTATTGCATATTTTGGTTTAAAAATAGCTTTCAGAACTAACAACACAATAGGAAAATTTTTAGAAAACAATAAAACCAAGTGATAAATTGGTTATGCTTTCGCGGCCCGTTGATAAGTTATTATCTTGATTCGGGTTTAAAGGCCGTCGTCGATTGGAATTACTTCCTAACGTTTCGCTAGCACGAGTGGCGAGCTTCTTCAGAGGTCCTTCCATCTCCGATGTTGGACGTGGACTCACGTCTAACGTCACGTCACGTCACGTCTTTTACTCTGTACCTGCTTACATATTGGTTAAGGGGGCATTAACGATAATAATAAACACCGTCTCGAATGACTGATTCTCAAATTGGTGACAGGTAGAGACCTGAGTCGCGGTTAAGATTGTTAGGTTGTTTACAGATTTCTGTAGACTCTCGGATTTTTCGTTGGTAGAAGATCCGATTACATGCAAGAATTTTAGTTTTATCGAATACAATTTTATGCCCGGTTTCATGAGTGTATTCGGCAACAGCTGATGAGTTTATTTGTCTTAGTCGTAAGGCTCTTTAGTGTTCTTTGAGCCTAGTTGATATTTTTCGTCCGGTCTCTCCAATATATTCTTTGCCGCATATGCATGGAATGCTGCAAACTCTTGGCATCCCTAATGGAATTTTGTCTTTGACGGATCGCAGATGTTTAGAGATTTTTGACAAGTGGTAAATCTGGTTTTGACGCTATATTTCTTCAGAACTTTTGATATGTGGTCAGTGATGTTTTGAATGGAAGGAGTCTATAGAAATCTATCTATAAACAATCTTAACCGCGACCCAGGTCTCTACTTGTCACTAATTTGGGAATCAATCATCCGAGACGGTGTTTATACCCCTCATTAGCGCCCCCCTTCAAACAATAGATACAGAGTAAAATACGAGCCAGTTTCAGTCAAGCTCTGAAGAAGTCAACAGGATAATTGGCGAAACCTCAGCAATTTCGACTCAGCAAAAACTGACGCAGAAGGAAACCAGGAGCTTTGTAAAAAGTATTACAGTAGCCTGTGGAAGTTTCTTTGAAAAATTAAATACCTCTCCTTTATTGAACTTAAATTCTCAAAACAACTTTAATTAAGGTTTTATTGTCATTTTTCGGAATATATAGTGGCAGGTAGTTTGTAAATATTACATTTGGTAAAGACACGGTGTCAGTCCCATTGTGAGTTGTATCTGACGGAAATGACTCTTGATATCCGAACCAGATTTCATACCGCATTTTAGAGCTGCCCGTTGTAAAACGCGGATTTATTCAGTTATCCCTCTCGGAAAACGAAATGACGCCCGAAGATAATTGGAAAAATAAAAAATTCAAGACGAACTTTCGCGCCGTAAACGACGTAGGTGTGTAAAAAGTTTACGCCGTCTCGGCTTTGATGATGGAAGAGGCGTCGTTCTCCATTGCCGAATCGGCAGTTCGTGTTTTACGACGTCCGAGATTTCTTGACGGCCGTCGTTCGTCGTTTGATCAACGTGAATAATTCAGCGGTCCCTCAAAATGATTGAACTAAATAATTAATGGCGTCGAAGTCGGGTCGTGTTGTTAGTCAACTCTCCTTCTTCGTGTGGAATCGGTGAAAGAGGAGTTCCAACCGCAAAAAATAGTCGTAAAACTAGTTTTGTCTCATCAAAACATCAACAATCCACAATGTATCAACCTAAAATGTCACTGTGTGCTTCGAACTGTACAATTTTCTAGACACTACATTCACTAATTGTAACCGAAAGATCACCATCAATTATCAACTTAAAACCTGTCTCTCTGGGTTCAACGCTAGCCTTTTCGTGTTGGTTTCAATCAGGTTCCTGTTAGAATCGGACATTTTGTTACTTATATTAACCAAAATATCAACCAACCCATATTAACCCATGAAACTAAAACGGCACTGTCTGGTTTTTCTAGTAAATGTTGCTCAGATTCCTACTTATTGTAATCGAAAAATCATCAACCTGCTGTGTTTAAGTGTGTAGTATAATTAGAATCTAGACTTTTTTTTTCTTGAGCTATCTACCTGTTTGTCCAATATGAATATGATTTTTGAGATTTTTATTGTTTTTTAAAAATTTCCCTATTGTGTTGTTAGTTCTGAAAGACATTTTTAAATCACATTTTGACAAATCTTTTCAAACTTTTTCACTGGGTTCTCATATGTATGTAATTGTATTAAATTGTTCGTCTTCTGTATTAGGTTTCGGATAAATAGAGTTTACTGTTATCTGTTAATGGACGGATTGTAGCCGTTGTTCAGTGCCATTTGTTTAATGATATTTAGTTCTTTGTTGTAATTTTCTGTTGAGAGTGGCATATTAAGAAGTCCGTGTATAAAAGAGTGAAATACAGGCATTTTGTGTGTCTAAGGGTGATTTGAGCAGCTAGGTATGACTGTGTCCGCGTGTGAAGGTTTTTGATAAATAGAAAAATGTAATTTGTTTTGCGTTTTCGTAATAGTTAAGTCTAAAAAATAAATAGAGTTATCCTGTTCTATCTCGATAGTGAATTTTATACGATTATGCAATAAGTTAATGTACTTTAAAAAAGAAATCAATTGTTTTTCCGTTCCAACAAAGCAAGCAAACACATCATCCACGTATCTATACCACCATAAACAACTTTTACTTAAAGGATATTCTTGTATGATATTTTCCAAATTATCCATAAAAATCTCGGCTAACAAAGAATTGACTTAAACAACTTAAATAAAACCTTTCTCTCTGAGTTCAACAGTAGCTTTTTCTTCTTGGTTTTAATCAGGTTCCAGTTGAAATCAGATATTTTGCTACTTATACTAACAAAAACATCAACAAACAGTCATTTATCAACCTAAGACGTCACTGTCTGGGTCGAACTGTACAGTTTTTTGGTTAATTTCGTTCTAGCCACTTATTGTAACCTGGAAAATACCGCATAAGCTTCTACACTATTTGCAAAAATGCGCATTGCTATCGTTGATTCGTTTGGTGTTTATAGCCCTAAAAGTGATATCACTTTACCACGAACTTGTACATTCAACCTGTATATTCATATTTATAGCTTTACGGAGGAAGAGTTATTGAGAGTCTTGTGAGCTATGCTGAATACACTTATAGCCAGATGTATGTTCATAATTTATGTTTTATTTGTTATTTATTTATTTATATTTATATTATATATTTATTTATATTTATTATATTATATATTTATTCATATTTATATTTATTATTTATTTTTAGGTTTCTTAGTTGGTTAACTAGAGGAATATCATGAGACTTCCGAGATTAATAATTTCCACCCACATGAAAATATCAAGAATAACTTTTTTATCTCATAAACAGGAACAAATTTAGATATTAAACTTTAAATTTTACAATTAAATTTACATTTTAACAATATAATTTCAGCTTCGTCACAATGCAGTAAATTTTTGAAATGCTTCAATTCACTCAGCCACTATCAATTAATTACTATAGAATTATTATCCCAACTAAAAGTCGTAACAAATCTATATTCATTATTAAAAAAAAACAATGAATTTTCTTTTATAAAACATATTTTTTTGTATATTGAATATTGGTTAACGTTTATTACTTCCAGTAGTAAACAGTGTTTTTAGTTGAATTGCGTTTATTTTAGCAGTAGTAGTTTAATAGGGAAAAATTTAAAAAAAATAATTACTTGTTTAATTATTTCATTAACTTTCAGAGAAATTTATCAATCAATTCAACATTATACCAAAAACATCAAATTCATAAACTTATCACTAGAGCGATAAAATATTAATTATTTGCTATTACGTATTTAATTTTAAATAATAGTTTTAAAACAATTTAATAAAGCACCTTTTGATATACGGCCAATTGAGGTAAAAGTCGTAGGCGAGGTTCAGTAGTAGAACCGTGACTCCCGTCTCTTTGGCGAGCATGCTGAGCCCGCCCATGGTCACGCTCAGCCAAACGTGGTGTTTTCCATCAGTGGCGTACCTGAAACAAAAGAAAATTCATAACTTCTGCTGATTTAACGCGAACAGTAATCGCTTTAAATATGGCAACGGACGACGGTAGTTATCGTGACTAGCGACTCACATTTCTGGAGGTATTTTTAAGTTCAATTTTTAAGTTCAAATCTCTCTTTACAACAGAAGAAGGTCGGAGAGAAGCGACGCGATAATGCAATGTAAAAAGTAAATTGATTGAGTTGCCAACTACAAAAATTTAATCCTTCGCTATCGTGAATTGAGACTGAAACGATTTTTGACGTTTGCTCTGAATCGGAAAACACCTTGCATTTCTTGCTACTTTCGAAAAATCGTTGAAATCGATTATTTTCGAAAGTATACGCGCTCCTCACTAAACTCCAGATCTCGGTAACGGGTGGTCCTAGGGGACCGCCATTGGTAGAGTACGAATCGGGGTCGAAAAAAAAATATTTTTTTCTCTCGGTCTGTTCACCGTTCTCTGTAGACCGTACCCATTTTTGGTCATAACTTTCGAACGGATTAAGGTAGGGGGTTGAAATTTGAATCTACCGATTTGAAACTTTGCGAAATTGAGAGAGATCGGTTAACGGGAAGTATTTTTTAAAATTCCGAAACAATTTTTTATCAAAAACCAAAAAGTGACTATTTCTCGAAAATCGTTCATCGGATCGAAAAAATTCTTGAACGAGAGGACGCGGAATATTGACGCCCATAAACTTTTATTGTTGACAATTTTTTGAAAATATACAGGGTGTGCCGGTATTACCAAAATCTGAAAAGTGAAAGGAAAATTGACTCTAAGTTTAATACTGTTACTCAGTCGGCAGTTTCTTCTACATGACAGTTAAGCCCATAGAGAGAGTATTTAAAGTGTTCGCATATTGTACGGGGTGTTCGAGATATAACGTATAATGTTGAAAAATGCAGCAAGTGCCCGGAATTTGCAGCTATTGACTTCAAATTTGGCACGTAGGTAGAAATGCAAATTATAAAAGCTAGGTGCAATATGGCATCGCCAAATGTTTTTAAAAACTTTTCGAAAAATTGTTTGTCGTCATTTTGGGCTGTATAAAAAAATTCATATCTTAAAAACTATTAAACTGATCGGCAAAATTCTTGAACCGTAAGACGTGGAAGGTCTAGTACTACAACTTTTATTTCAGGTATTTTGTCGATTATGTACAGGGTGTGTCAATTGTGGATAAAAATCTAAAAGTCCATGAAAATTGTTTTTTTCTGTAATAAATTATCGAAATTCGTGAACAACTGGTTTAAACACTGTTATAGGGCACATCGAGAACTACAAATTTTGTATTTACGATTTTCGTCTATCACATACGCCGTTCGAGACATTTGAAAAAATCATTATTATAAAAGTCCTAATAGAACGCAGACATCCAGCAAAGCTATACACTGTTCAAGCCTCAATTTAATCTAAACCAAAATACCCTAAGAACAAGAAAAAAAAAGGATCAAATAAATAAAGTTAAATATGTTACGCAGAGTTTATAATACATTAATGTGTGTGGGTAAGCAGAGTGGTTTTCCGATACAGAAATTATTGAGTTCCAAGAAGATATTTTTTATACCGGTTTTTAAAAGTTTTGGTTGATATTGTTAAATTGAAAAGACTTAAATTGTTTATTGTATATGCAATTCTAAAAGAAAATGATCTTTCAAACATTTCAATATAACATATTTTTCTTAGATCTAAGTCTTGAACATGTGTACGAAAAAAGATGTTGGTAAAAAGATATTCAGGAGATTTACACATAGTTTGAGCAAAATGAAAGTTCTCGGTAGGAAGAAAGCAAATAAACACAAAACGACGGACATATTTAACAGCCCCGCCTATCTCGCGTCGCATTCGCTTAGAAAGAGGAGCAGCCATCGTCCTTCCAGAAACAATTTCGGGCACAAATCTGTGGAGACTAATAGCGGGCACTTTGTTTCAGGCTCTCGTCCATACCGGGAGTGTACCACGTCCGTAAAAACAGGAACGAACGGGACTTTCCAGGTTCGTGTCTCGTATATATTTCCCGTAATTATATTTTGAACGTTCGCTCAAATTTATCGGCTAACGAAGAATATACTTCGTCCATTTTTTCACGAATTGGGGATAGTAGACGACTGATTTGCGATCGTTAGCTTTCCATGCTAGATTACTATATATGAGATATATTGTCGTCGCAGGATTACATTTTTACAATCTAATGAAAGCTTTGCGGGTCGAAATGGTCCGTGGTAGTAGATAAACAAAAGGGGTTCTGCAACCCATCCATCCAATTTGTGGGCATTATGGCTCAAATTCGTTTTTTGGATTTTACCAATTCATGCAGAAAAAAAATTATTGGGGATCAGCAAATCAGCTGAACACGTTCCGCAGTGTATATTATTGCATTTTCCGCTCCGCTATATTATTGTTTCTGAATAATACGTTTCCTATAACTAATGATCACAAAAATGGTGTAAAGTGCATTTTTAAAAATAGAACAACCTTTAAATTATTACATATTCTAAAAGCCAATTAAATTTCTGAAATAAAAGCAAGTTTCTCTTACACTGCCATAGTTTTACCGTTTGACGGTTCAATTGATATATTTTTTTCAAACAAATAATGAATTACAACAGACGAGCCAGAATTAGGAAAAGCTTTATAAACCATTTCACGAAAGTATTGCATTAGATGTATTATTCTCTTATCTCCCTAATAGAAAGCAAGTAACTTTTTATAGCAATAAAATGACAAGTTTACGAAATGTAATGCATGGAGTTCCACAGGGTTCCATTATGGGTCCATTATTTTATATTAATAATGTCAATGACCATATGGCACACGAATATAGAACCTCTTAAAGGGGAAACAGTTGGCGAAAGAACATGCCAATATGTGGTTTAGAGAGAATCGCCTAAAACTAAATGAGGATAAAACTCACTCTTTAGTCATTTCCACAAATGTAAATATTTCGAAAGGAAGATCTGCGAAGTCGTTGGGTGTGGTCCTGGATGATAGGCTCTCTTGCAAGGACCACACTGGTTATTTAGTAAAGCGCCTCTCCTGTGTCAACTTTTATACTTTTACTGTTGGGACAATTCAATAGATTCCATAAAAATTTTTCGTATGCAAAAAAGAGCGGTCGGTGTCTATCATTGGCAACCGCTCTCCCAGAATCTTGGGGTTATGCCACTACCATCATTGTACATGTATCGCAGGGTTTTAGAAACTCATAGCCTCAAAAAATATGTTATCTGTTCACTTAGATAATCATAAATACCCCACTTCCTCTTCGAACTTGCTTCGAGCTAGGAAGTTTAAATACACTAAAAGCATGAATTCTCTTGACATAAGTTTATACAACCTAATTCCAAATCAAGTCACGAACTTGCTATTCAAAAATTATGAAACCAAAACAAAATCTTTTTTAATCTTTTTTTGGAGCATTGTGGAGGAATACGAACAGAAGGTGAAAGATATCACCTGATTATAAGATTATTAATCGTGTCCACTGTTTGGTTGTGTTCAGTATCTTCCTTTTTTTTCATTTTTATACCTGTTGGTTTATGATATGTATTCCGTTGTTATACCTATTATTATTGTAGATTTCATCTTAAACTTCTGGATTCCTCCTGCGTCGGTTTTTGTCGAACTTGCTAACGTTTCGCCCATCGTCCTGTTGGCTTCTTTGGAGCTGAAACTGGCTCGCATTTTACTCTGTACCTGCTTGTATATTTTTTGAGGGGGGCGGAACTAAATGAGGGGCATAAACACCGTCGCGGATGACTGATTCCCATATTGGTTACAGCTAAAGACCTGAGTCGCGGTTAAAATTGTTAGGTTACATGTAATCCATTCTTCGATTACATGTAAGAATTTTAGTTTTTTCGAATAAAATTTTATGTCCGGTTTCGTAATTGTGTTCGGCAACTGATATGAGTTTATTTGTCTTAGTCTTAAGGCTTTTCATGTTCTTTGGGCCTAGTTGATATTTTTCGTGCGGTCTCTCCAATGTATTCTTTGCCGCATATGCATGGAATGCTGTAAACTCCTGCCATCTCAAATGGAATTTTGTCTTTGACGGATCGAAGATGTCGAGAGACTTTTGGACAAGTGGTAAACCTGGTTTTCACGTCATATTTCTTTGCAACTTTTGATATATGGTCAGTGATGTTTTGAACGTAAGGAAGGGCAACAGTGGCAAGTATGGCATTGCTTTCGGCTTCATTGCTATTGGAAGGTTGTGGTGAAGTGTATTTTGTGATGGAACGCTTAATATCTTTATTGTGGAAATTATTAAAGAGAAGAGCAGAGGTAAGGTGTTTTAATTCTGGTTCAGTAAGTCGGGCTGAGATAGTTGTACGGCTCTGTAAACAAGAGAGTTGATAACAAATGATTTTTGGGCCGGATGGTGATGTGAAAATGCATTAAGGTATCTGTCTGTGTGCATATGTTTTCTGTAAACACAATGACCCCATGTTAATTCTGATTTTCTATTGATAATAATATCCAAGAATGTGAGATTGTTATTAGTTTATAATTCAATGTGAAAACGTATGTTATGGTGTATGGAAATTAAATGTCTAGGAAAATCTACTAAGGATTCTTAATCATCATCATAATTATGGTTTTAGATGGAAGGTGTCGGAAGCTCTCTTCTCAAATGCTTCCATTAACATATTCGCGATGACTGGTGATAGTGGAGGAGGACCCATAGCTGTTCCCTACATTTGTTCAAAAATTTGAATAAGAAAAGTATGTTCTAGACAAGCATTCTTTAATTAAGGTGAGAAGGTTTGGTTCCATATTCTCGGATTTTAATATATCCGAAATGATGGTAAGAGTTTCAGGAATAGGAACTTTAGTAAAAAGAGATTCTACGTCGAAACTATGCAAAATATCTTGTGGATCTAATGTAATGCTTTTTCATTGTTGAATGAATTGAAAGGAATTAGGTAGGTTTTAATAAGGAAGCTAGATATTTGGCTAGAGAATATATGCGAGAATCA